CCACACTGGCACAGGAAAGAAGAGCCTTACCGCGGAAGTGAGAAAGGCACAGAAGGGGGAGCAGAGGGCGCGGGGTCAAGGTGGCGTGCGTGATGATCCCAAGTGCGTCACGCTGATAGGCTCGCGGCCGCCTGCCATGAATTATTATTTGTGCTCTGTACTGCTGGGAATGGAACCATCATTTATGTATGGCTCTCGCTCATGCTATTTGTCTCCTGTGATATATATAGTTTGCTTATTCGGGAATATACCCAGCCAGTAGCAGAATGTATAAGAAGAGAATTATCGTTATCATCAGTGTCCGAAGAACAACATACCACTTCCACATTTTATTTCTTCATCTTCTTTCCAGTCTCCATATGACTCTCTGTCTCAGACCATCCCGTAGCTCACTTCCCCATCTATCAAACATGTCCTTCATGAACGTATGCATGACTCGAGGCCGCAAAACAAGCAGAGCAAACCGCATTGTACTCGACATAAAAATCTCTGAGAGTAAACAAGTGAAAGAAAGGGCGAGGGGCGCCCCGCCTGAGCCGAGAGGGAAATGACTGCGGAGTGAGTGCCGGCTGCGGGCGCCTCCTCCCGCGTTAATATTGATGATGGCAATCATTTGGCCGCCGCCGCCCGCGCTGTCTACCTGAGCCCAGGGACACCTCAGGTAACGACCGCCAATGGTGGATTTCTATCAGCTCGGTCTTTTAGGGTCCTCTCGTGTTTTATGTTTCGATAATATTAAGTGAAAGAGCATCTCGTGTTTTATGTTTCGATAATAATAAGTGAAAATGCCTTAATCAAGTGGTTAACACTATTAAAATGGTCTACTGGTATTACAGTGTATATCAAAATTCTGTATAACAGTGCCCTCTGCATGCGTGACAAATTATTGCACAAATAAACCTTGGCAAGGGAGTTATTATGTCAAAGGAGACATATTTCGTACTTTATATCTTTTTTAACGTTTCTAGCCCTTCGATGACACGAATGAAGCAGTATGCAGCATATTCAAAACCCTTTTTCCCGCTGATGATACTTCATACTTCTGGAAGTGACGGCAGTTGGTCCGGAAAATGATTATGTTAGGTTTATTGATAGTTGAAAGTTTGGCCTTCCTACACCTAGCAGTTTAATCATTTAGGCTTTATTTCTTTATCCATAATGCATCTCATAACGCACTACGTTGTCAGCACGGTCAGGCCACGGACGCCCCCCGAAGGCCCGAGAACCGGCGCCGCTGGCGGATGCCCGTCCGGCACGGGGCACCTGGCGGAGAGTCAACCGGAAGAATAGTAATAAGAAGAACGAGAATGATAATAGAATATATGTAAAGAAATAGTAAAACTGCTCTATACAGTATATTTAACTTAATCAATCTCAGGGCAAAAATAAAATGGATATGATTCGAAATTCCATTCTAAAAACAGCAGAGGAACATTGCCAAAGGCATTTTTTGGAAGGAACATTGTGAGTGATAAATAATCTCGAGAATGAATAAATCTCACTCTGTTTTCTTTTTTTTTTCTTTTTTTGTGTTTTTGTCTCTTCTGGGAAGCATTTAGCTTTATCAGTCACTTCCCCGGCGTGTCAGCTGGCGCGATATCGGGAAACGTGGCAGTCTGCCCCTCGCGACGATGCACATGCACGGTGGGAGATCACCCTTCGAATTATCATTACAATCACTCCTTACATTATGTGTATTTTCATTTCCTTCTATGTTCTTTGTTCGCGATGGGGTAATTATCTCTGATTATTTGCACTTATTCAGACCTCCTTGGACTCAATCCTTTCTGCAAGAACCATAAACCAGTCTATATTTCGGCAATTTTTGACCTCCGTCTGACAGTTCAAATATACAACTGCTTACATAATTTCTGACCCCGCAGTCAAGTCCATAATTAAGGTTGAGAATTTATACATTATACCAATATGGAAATCCTTTGAATTAAGTGGAAATAATATAGTTTGACATATATACCAAAAGTTTTTCAAACATGGTATGTTATAGGCTTTAACATTAACACTTGAAAGCTATAAAAGAAAATTTCACAACTGAGCTGCAAGGCACACACGCTTAGTATATCGGAGCGGAATTTTAACAGAGCGCGTTAACCATTTTGCAAAAGTTTTGTACTTTGTATGGCAAAGAGAGAGTCAGCCTTTACCTGACGTTTTATTGCAAAAGCATTTTTACTGATGTTCATGTGACGCTAAATGATCAACTACAAATCCATTTTCAAGACAAAATCCATAGACAGAACATGATCATTAACTGCGAATTTGTGTGCGTGCGTATGTGTGTATGTGTGTGTGTGTGTGTGTGTGTGTGTGTGTGTGTGTGTGTGTGTGTGTGTGTGTGTGTGTGTGTGTGTGTGTGTGTGTAAGGGCCAAGGAACAGACTCCCATTATCAGGAAGGGAAAGCCGAGGGGTTTACGCGTTCGATTCCTGCGATGTTTGCTGCCAAGGGGCGGGTGCGAGAGGGAGGGCGCGGCTCCTGGGCGCCGGCCCCTGAACGCGGAAGGTTGATTATAATAATAATAACAACAACAATGGTACTGTTACTACTAGTAGTACTGCTACTACTGCTATTGAGTCATCATTGTAGTTATTATCATTATCATTATTAATATTGTTATCATTATCATTGTTATTTTCTTAGTATGTCTCATCATGATTATTATCATTATTATCATCAACTTGCAATAACAATAACAATACTACTACTAATAATAATAATGATAATGATAATATTAATAATGATAAAGGAAATTATAATAATGTTGATAATAATAATGTTAAGGATAATGAAAAATATAACAATATCGATAACAACAACAGCAGCAACAACAACAACAACAACAACAACAACAACAACAACAACAACAACAACAACAACAACAACAACAACAACAACAACAACAACAGCAGCAGCAGCAGCAGCATTAGCAACAACAACAACAATAGTGTTAATTGTACCATAATAATAGTGATAACACAAACAAGACAGGGAAAATCCACACAAAGGGAGTCAAGAAGAAAACACCTTGTTTACTGATAAAAGATTAAGATGAAAAAAATAAAATCAAAAGCGCAATATTATTATCGTATGTGCAGTGAATATATTTTTCGGGATCTAAACAGATATTTGACCTACATACATATGATTTATTTAATTTCCAGTCTGTGAGCAGCATTTAAAATGGGAAATCAATCCTTTACCTAATTTTAATATATATTCTTATCATTTCAGATCAGAAA